CCCTGAACAGTTACCTCCCTGCCAGTCAGCCATGACATCGGTGGCCTCCTGTACTGGGATGTCAGAAAGCATGCAAGTCAGACCCTGGTCCTCCCTCCTTACTGGCCCTGATTTTGACACAGCCTGTGACAGAAACCAAATGTGTGAGTGGTGCATCAGTTACCGAGGGGAGCGTGCCCTCAAGTCCCCTGGGACCACCACTGGGAAGATGGAGGTATTCGTAGGTCTCTGGAATTACCTCCCCCTTTCTTTGGGGGCTCACCCTCACTTCCTAGGCACTCACTTCTCTGAATATCTGGCCCATCCAACCTATTTCCTGCCTGCATAAACAGATGGACCCTTCATTCAGGCTCACCCCAAACTGCAACTGCCTACTTCCATCCCAAAACAGCCATGCTGCTCCCCGAAGACCTGACACCAAGCAGCCTTGTTGCCTCTCAGCCCCTCCAGACCTCGGAGCCATGATGCTTCAGTTGAAGTTCTTTTATTTTTGACTTTATTTTAGCAAATGTTGTACAAAATACATGGGTCACTACTTCACAAATCATTTCCCCGTGATGGTATTTATAATAGCAAAGTTTTACCTACTTCTGGAAACCTTCACAGTTTACATTAAAAGTAGGAAAATATTTCCTTTGGTTGGGTGTTATTCTTCCTTTTAAAGAAGTGATGAGACTTGCAAATAAATATAAAATATTCTCTTTGATCTTACTCAGTTTTTAAAGTGGGTGTAATAGAGTCCTACTTTTGGGTTTAATTCTCAAATTGGTCATTTGGAAGCTGGATATCAAGAACTCCAGGAAGAGAGAGACCACGTAAAGAGCAATTTTAAAGAGAATATTCTAGACAGTTATAGCTCCATTTGACGCTGACCAACTCATTCTAGAAATCCATGTATGACTGGGCTAATTATATTTCTTTGCAGAGCACATTGAAAGTGGCTGTTTAACACTGTCGGGTGAGTGCGAGCGTTGCTCATTATTAATCCGGCCTCTCAGTTCCTTTTCTTTCATAAGAAAAGGAAAAGTGGGTGTTTAACAATTCAACACTCTGTCTCCTGCTAGGGATAATTGCTTGATTTCTCTTATTGTTCATAGCACTTCTTGAATTAGATTAATTTCTTTATATTCCATTTCTGTCTATTCAAGACAGCAATTTCTTTGACTAAAAATATAACAAGACATGATACTCATTCGCATATAAAAAGTAGACCAAACCTCCTTTCATTCCAAAGCCTGTTATTTTGGAAAATGTTCTCTTAGCATTTAAGATCCCAGCTGTTGGGTTTGCCGCATCCCAAAGCACTTACAGGTTCACTGTGATCCCCGCACAGCTGCAGCTCTCAGACCAGAGTGGAGGTTAAAGTCAGTTCAGGTGGTGCCTGCACAGATCTTAGGAGTTCAGAGATTCCGAACAAAGGACAGTGACAACATTTCCATTACACTGAGGGCTGAAGCACCTCTTAGGCTGAGATTGTAATGAACTCACCAGATGCACCAAACCATTTAAAACCACGAGCTTCCCTGAGCCTCCATGAGTGGTGCTTGCTTTCTTATAAGACAACAGGTCTGTCTATCAGCTGACACCGCAGTCAGTACTCAGTGGTTTTCCTCTGTATAGCTTCAAAAAGGCCCTGTGGGGTACCTAGCGGTATAGTGTGTGTGTGTGTGTGTGTGTGTGTGTGTGTGTGTGTGTGTGTGTTTATGTTTCGATCTAAAGTGTAGTCCCCCTTTGTCTAAAATAGACTTTAAAGAAACTAACAAATTAAGCTCGGTCTCTAACAGGACCTCAGCAACAATAACAAAGGAAAATAGGACAGTGATTAGTGACATGAGTACCAAGTATTTATTAGTAAACACACAGAACGAGCATAAATGTAGTCCTGGCAGTACAGCAAGCACGCGTTAAATTATGTAATTATTGTTACATGATTTTTAAGACAATAAAATTTATTTGGAAAGTTAAACATTTTCCTGGCAGAAAATTTCAAGATGAACTTGGAATTAATTCACAGGATCTTCTATTAGACACTAGATAACATAACAAAGAATGTCTCCAGCTGACACAGAAGTATTCAAGTGGATGTTTTAAATACCAGCTTTCTAGAAAATATGAAGACGTAATATGAAGTATTTCATGAAGATTTTTCTGAAGGAGGCTGGTCTGGTTTTCTGCCTTTACATCCGGGCTAAGTTAGCTTCAGAGAGACACATCAGTGCAGTCATTGGGCTGGTACACCCTCTGGACCTGCTGGTTTCTAGGCAACTCGTTGTTGCATTCTCTTACTGTCTGAAGCACTGGTGAAGGAAAGATGCTGATCTGAAGGAGGCAGGCTTAGCGTTCATTCTCTTTTGAGATTTAGGGGCCCAAACTCCAAAAGGAGTATCAATCCACCTCTGCCCTGAGTTGGGCTCTAGGGGCCTTGCAAGAAGGGCCAGCTTCTTAGAGGGGCTTTCAGTCTACTCAAACTTTTAGATGCAGACTGGGATCCCAGAGCATGGAAGAAACTATTGTAAATCAAATATTTTTATTGGAAGGGTTGCCTCAGCTGCCATGATGGACCGGGCATTGCATACGCAGGCCCTTTCTCGTGTCAGGGCTGGGACTGGTGAAACAGAGGTCGAAGGGGCCAGCTTTGCTCAGCCCTGATGTTGCCACGTGAGAATGAAGGCCCAGAATTGCCAGAGCTTCCAGTTAAGAGAGGCTAGAAATCGATTTTACATGCTATCTGATGAATTAGAATATAGGCTCAGAAACATTTTTTAAAAACATTTTGCAGGCCAAACCAAAGCTTAAGGGTCTTCGGTTTGCAGCCTCTGTTATGAAGCAAGGCCTTACTAATCACCTTCCTCAACCATTAATAGCCTTGGGTTGGCCCAACAGAATTTCACATTTTTAGCATAACTGAATCTTGATTTAAAAAAAAAAAAAATTAAAGCTGCTTTTCCCAATGATTGCTCATTAAGCTGACCTAGTAAGTGGGAATGGTCAGTTTTTCCCCTTTTAATTGATTACATTTTTCCTGCACCTACAATAATTTTCATTCTGACATAGACAGTGTTAAGCTGGCTTCTTACAATAAGTATTCAGCATGCTCACTCTGTTGGTACTTTAGTACCACATTTGTGGGCTAGTACCATGGACAGTTACATCTGTTTCATAAAATGCTGCAGTCTGGAATCTGTTTCTGGACCACCTTGAATGTTAGCTGGTGCCGATTCTGGCATATATGATTAGGGCTTTTGTGTGTGTGTGTTTTTCATTAAATGGTGTATTCAAGTAATTGAGTTCTGTGGTTGTTTACATTTGTCTGGTCATTTTTTACCTGCTTTTTTCATATAATTGGCATATAACGCTGTGTAAGTTTAAGGTAATGATTTGATACACTTATATGTTACGATTACCATCGTAGCTAATACCTCCATATAGTCACATAATCACCATTTCTTTTTTGTGGTGAGAACATTTAAGATCGACTTTCTTAGCAACTTTCAAGTATGTATGTCTGGTCATCTGTAGTTAAGGAGGAGTAACACTAATATTAATAGTATTTATTGAATTCTTATTCTGTGCCATGCATTGTGCAGAGTACTATATAGAGATATTAAATCATGTAATTGTCACAAAGTTCTTTGAGGCAGGTATTATCAATATCATTATCACCATCATTCCTACTTTATAGGCATGGGTACTCTGAGATTAATAACTTAAATAACTTGACCAAGGTCCCATAAGTAGTGGAGCCCAAATGCAGCCAGCCAGTGACTCCAAGCAGTGTTCCCCGCCAGCCCCCAGGCCCACTGCTACACTAGCGTAACATTTCTCTCTGCTGAAGAACATGCATAATTTCAGATCCCACAGTGCCTTGAAAGTCTAATGACAGGAAAGCACAGAATCCAAAGAGCACTGGGGAGCATGCTTGTGTCCACATCCCTCTCTCCTCCTTTCCTTCCTCGTTGTAATCACTCAGATGTCAATTATGAAAAGAATCTTACAGAAATTTACAGTGGATCACAGAACGAGCCTGATGCTCCCACCAAGACGCAAGGTTCACAATTCTCATCAAGAAACAGCAGATGGAAACAAACCTTCATGGCATTGTTGTGGTTTAACACATTTCTTCATTTCTTTCTAGACAAAGGGAGGAGACCAACCTACAGCTTGTGAGCAGACTGAATATTGGTCTTTAATGCTTGAGTGTAGGAGCATTAATACAATATCATACTAATTTGCTTAGTATCGCAATGTTTTCAGTAGCATAATATCCTTAAACTTTAGTATAATTTTTTATTACTAAAGACTTTCTATCAAAGACCTAGTCTAAAATACAACATCCTTTTTTTTTTATTCATGGTTAAATCAATGAGAGAGATTTGGCAAAGGCTCAAAATTATCCTTGTTAACTTGTTTTTAATAGTAATTGATTTATATGTGTGCTCAAACCTACAACACGTGTATGTATATGTATGTTTACTAATTGCAGTCATATGCATTCAAACACAGTGTTATCGCTGGGAAATGAAACATAAAGCATGAAAATATATCATTATTAAGAGGTTGAAATTATACTGTTTAACTCCTTCCAGAAGAAGGATGTTAGAATACAGCTTTGGTTGTTTTTTCATTAAGGTAAGTGAGGTTCCTGGATAGATTCGGTGATCAGTTTCTTACCTTCCTAATTAATTGTAAAATTCTTCTCTCTAATGGACATAAATGAAGTAACATATTGGTTTGCCCATTAATATATGCTTTTCCTTGGACTCATGCTGTCTGCCCAACTCAGAGACAGGTAGACGCCTCAAAACAAGATTGAAGCCCCTGGATAAACCAGTGAGAGAATTTGGAGTGCTTTTCTGATTTTTCTAGCCTGGTTTTAAAAATAAAGAATGTTACAGCACCTAACATCCATAACATAACTCGGTCAACATCGAATGCATTCGGGTGTGTGTATCATAGTTCTGTGGAATGCGTACAATCAATAGCTCTGAATTTTATTTTAGACCATCCATGGACACAAGGGACCAATCACTGCAGTGGCCTTTGCTCCCGATGGACGATACCTTGCCACCTACTCAAACACCGACAGCCACATTTCTTTCTGGCAGGTAAGCGTAGATGCTAGAGGGTCTTCAGTATACGGCACGATCTGTTTCTCCTAGAGAAGTCCTCCCGCTGTGCCTGCCCGCCCTCTCTCCCTTCTTTCCTCAAATATCAAGTTTGTATTGCTTGCTGATGATGTCCCGGATGCTAGCGTGCGGGTTACACTGAGAATACGTTTAGCAACCTGGAAAGAGGGGTATCTGCCCTCACAGAACTTTCGGAGGTAGAGACAAGTAAATATGCACGCAATTACAATACAGAGTAGAACCCGAGACTAGGTTGTGGGGTGGCTGCACAGAGGATGTGAAGTGACATCTGAGATGATGCCGAGGAAGGGCAGGGGGGAGTGGAGTTTAGGGAGAGGGAGCAGCGGGTCAGAGGTAAGCAAGGGCACGATGTGTATGAGGGTGTAGCCTGAAAGGAATGGGGCACAAGGAAGCCATGCTTAGGCTGTTAATTTAACACAAGGCGATGAGACAGCTCACACAGGGCGTAGGGCCTAGGGCCTAGGAAAAAGGCAGCCAGTATCAACGCATGTCCTGTTTGTATTGTCTCATTTTGTTTGCATTCTAAATTTCCCACATTATATTATTCATTCCTAAACTACCAAAACATTTCTAAAAATCCGAGTATCATTGACTGGCAGTTCATGAAAATGCCTATGTTTGATTCTGATTAAAGTGAATATTAACTTTGAACAACTAATATTTTCAAAAGAACTTGTTCCATCCTCAGTGAGTAATCTCTATCCCATCTTTTTTAAATTACCTTACTCCTGATTATTAACAATCATTACCAACTCCTCCCCCAAAAAAGTTTTAAAAATTTTGTTGTTACCTTAACTTCCCTAGGATACAAGTATGTTTTATGAGATTCAGTTTATTGCTTTGAAAGCTAAAAAACAAATTAAAATTTAAATAAGACTTCAGCACAGCATGATAACAGTTTTTTAAAAAACAATAGTTTTAAAAAAAACAGTAGCTAACAAAATGTAAAACAGATATAATAAATTACTTAATTAACATTCTATTAAAGCATATGACAACTTCCAAATCTGTCGCAGACTTTTTCTAACTCTTCATCTAATTTAGTTTTCCACTTTATTATCTCATTATCCTTTCTTCCAGAATATATCTCTAGCATCTTAATTAGCTCATAGCAAACGTTTCCTTAGCGATCTCACCCAGTCTTCATTCTCCCGGGTGGGCGAGCACAGGACTCGTGTTTTGTTCTCTTGAAGGCCCGCGGCAGGCCCATCAGGTGTCCATGCACTGGGCTTTTGGAGCAATTGCTCTCGAAAGAACTTCCTACCAACTGCTTTTTCCTACTCATGTCTACACTGTGGTCTCTGTTACACCAGCTGTACTTTGCTACAAATTTCCCTTTGTTTCATGTTCTGTCGAAATCCGGGAGGAGCGTTATGTCAATTCCATTTGTTTAACATTTATTCGGTATCAAAGTGCTGGGTGCTGGCCTGTGCCTTGGGGATACAGAGTCAGCAAGTCACAGATCCCTGCTTTTTTTTTTTTCTTGTCCAGTTTTACTTCCCCAGAAAACGTAATTTCTTATATAAAGGAATACCCTCTAAATTAGCCAGATTTAAAACTTTTTCTAATAATTTCCTGAATTTCTATGTGGTAAACATTTTTCCCCTTATCTAGACATTCAAGCGTCTGTTTGGATATGTTCATCCCTTCCTTGAATATTTTTCTATTTTTATCAAAGTTCCTGTGCAGCTCATTGATGGCATTGTGGTTAGCACCCTTTCTTACCCTGGAGATCAGGGTCATCCGTTAGATGACATCTCACCAAGATACCTTTTGGTCTTGCAGTTTTCTTCAGGCTCGGGCTGCTGTCCCTGGGCTTTGCCAAGTGCGCCAAAACCTACCTGCCTGCACATGAGGCTTTGCGCACACTGTTTCCTTATTCCACACGCTCGTCTACCGCAGGGGCCCTTGTGTCATCTGCACGTGTGGCTGTTCTGCGGACACAGCCCCAGAGCAACCCAGGCAGCGCCCAAGTCCTTCTTGCCTCTAAACCCAATGCCCAACTTTACAATGCGGCCCATTTCTCAGATGCTTAAATTAGACCCAGCATGGTCTTGAAGTTTAAGTGGAAGGCACAGAAACATTATTTCAGCCTTATCGAGAAAATACAATTAAACCTCTTCCAGGCATATAGCTGGTTTTTATTTGAATTGAAGAGAATCCAGAAAGCAGTGTTGGGTCTACCACTGCTCTCCCCAAATGGACTTTGCTGATTTATTTAGATACATATTGTTTAGTTCTAATGATGTATGATGACACTTTTATATTATTCCAGTAAATGTACTGCAATATATTTTGAAAACTTAATGAAGTCTTATTAATACAGAACCTTACAAAAGCTATCAGCTATTAAAATCTTTGCTGAGAAATGAGTGTTAATGAGAAATATTGGTTGGATAATTACTCAAGTGAGACTTAGTAAAAGGTTTGTGTGCAGCATTACTTATACTGAGAATAGCATTAAAACACTTCCTGTTTTGATGAATTACATCTGTATGTGTTTCTATGTGTTCAGAAAATAATCTTCACAGAACTGGTCTTGTGAAGCACTATTTTTAAAGAGAAGAGAAAAGCCAAAGTTACATTTTAATCAGTTTATATACCCAGCTATTAAATGATGTAATTTGGCAATCATTTCATTCCTTTGACTCTCCAACAATATATTTCTATAACTTGAATATTTCACTTCAATGTATTCATTGATATTTGATCAAGGGACATTTAGTAATGAAATACAATGCTAATTCTCTCACCTAAATTTTACCACTACCCTCCAACAGATAAGTATCCTCGTTCAGAAGTGACAATAACAAATTAGAGGAATATTGGTTTCATTTATTTTTATTTATTCCATCACACAGAAAACTATTCAACCATTCAAAAAGGATGATGTCAGTCCGTACTCATTAACATAAAAAGATCGCCTTCAACATTTCGTTGAATGGAAAAAACAGGTTGTGAAACTGCCTTTTACTATGAGCCTGTTTATGTAAAATTCTTTAAACTAGCTTCTCCTTATCCGTATATATACTCGGAGATCTGGAAGGTGTTTACCAAAATGTTAGTTATTATCTCTGAGAAATGAGATTCCAGGGGATTGCTTTCTTTTTTTTAGACTTCTCTTTCTTCTTTGAATTTTCCACAATGAGTATTTCTTTATCTTTGTAATCAGGAAAAAATTTAGTGTTACCAGATATTACAATTCCAGGTAGTTTTTATTCATTCAAGGCTCTAATTGCCCTTACTTTAGCATAGTTTATAGCCAGTCACTGGCCAAGAAAACATTAATATTGAATAACAAAATGGTTAATTGTTTCGGTGAGAGTTCTTTGAGCTTATTGGAAAAATTAATACTCATCTTTACTACTTCATATTCATCTCTAAATTGAAGAAGAGGTCATGGGGAAAGGATGGTCTGAGCAACAAATTATAGTTAACACGAGGGTCCTCATCATTCCAGCCATATGCAGCTATAACAGTTATATACCTTGCAGAATTAGGCATCGCCTGTTCAGAGGCAGGAAAGCTGACCCTACCGAAGGCATTTGTCAATCGATTTATCAGTCGTTTGAGGGATGGCTCAGCTTGTAAAAGGAACCCAGATATAGTAATGGGCTTTAAAAAAAAAAAAAAAACTTTCCATCTGTAGTATTCCAATAAGATACTCTCCCTGTCCCCCTTTACCCCTCAGCCCACTTCTTATATGTGGCTAAATTTGAAGATAAGAATTGAAAATAAGAAAGTGTCTGAACATATTGGATACCCTTCACATTTTAAGCCGCCAGCAGAAATCACGCTTCATACATATTTTCACGGAAAATCCATAAAGAATGAAAAATACTTTGTGGTTATTTATCAACTGAGAAATTAGATTTTTTAAAAAGCACAGTATGCCTGTTGATGCTGGTTAATTTTAACCAGCGATTTTCTGGATCGTTCAGATATGCTCTGTAAGAGGACTAAATTATTATGTGCTGTTACTTTTTGTGCAAGTGAGAACTGTCAAATCAAGCTCACCATCATTATTTATATGTAAAGTATTTGGGAACCTCCAGAAATCAGTAAGTCATTGATTTTTATTTTTTATGGAGTTTTTGGAAAAGAAGGGAAAGAAAGGAGGGAAGGAAGCAAGGGAAGAGGCTTTTGGAGGATGACAATAAGGTACTGCCCAGCTTTAAATGTTAACTGAACTTTCACAGAAAGAGTTAATGATAACCATACATTTGGTTTTAAAATGTGACCTCGTACACTAGTGATTTTTTTCACCTCGGTGTTGTGTTCGGCACTATTATTAATGCAGTAAAATCAGTAACATTAGTCATCTTAAAAGGGTTATTACTCAAGATGATTTAAATTGTGAAAATGTCAGTGGAGCCTGCACGTATCCTGCTAGAGATGCCATGATTTACGCCCTCTGACACCATCCTGCTGCTGAGAAGGGCCAGAAAAAGGAATGGCTTATATTTTGTACTGATCCAGATGCAGGGCATGATATCAGCAATAAGACATCTTAAATGTCGGAGGATTTGACAAGGTTTCATGTGTCAACTACTGGTGTACGTTGGATCATAATCTGCATGCTTCATACAAATCCCCAGAACCTTACACATTTAGATGGAGATTTGACTGGAGAGAAGAACTGGAAACAAAAATTGGTGTGAGGAAAAGTATTATTTCCAAGACCCCTTTCCTGACTTACGGCATACTTTCCATGCGATTCGTAATACCACAATATATGTACGTTGAAAGAATGTTAAGTAATATTTAAAATCTAAAGGATTCACCAGGTGTAGTCACTCCGATAACAGTTCACTGAGATAACTGCCATGCAGAATTTAGCACTTTTTTCCTGAATGCAGAGTTGTTCGTGAGCCATAGTTTCCATGTCGTTTTCCACTTATATGAGTGGATTCAGAGAACTTAAACTTTAAATCAAATCCAGAAACGCCGCCAAAAAACAGAAGTCACCAACTAATAAAAATGTATTACCAATACACGTTAAAGTATATTCTCCTGAGCACGGCAGCAAAACAATACTGAGCTGTAGTCGATTCTTGTTTTTCCCTTCAAAATAAACTAGAGCTTTCCAGAGACTGAATTTTTTTTTAAAAGCAGGTGAGGAGGGCAGGTGTTGGGAGATAGAGAAGGGGGCGGGGGTTAAGTTCTGAGCTTTGATCCAATAACCTCTCACTCTGTCTACTGCTGGACTTTGCTTCATTTTCTTGAACTAATTATAAGTCCCCAAACTTGTCTTCGTAGATTCACCCTTCAGGGGATGCAGTTGGCACTGTCGTTGAAGGACAAAAGGGTCTACAGTTTGAAACACCCATAATTTCCAAATATTGTCTGACTGCACCGTTTTACCGCATGTGCAGTTTAGCTCCCCTCTTAAAGACTAGACGTCCCTGCAAAGTGAAACTTCTCGGGATTTACGCGTGGACTGTGACAGCGTCAGAACGCTTTGAAATGTACTGAAAGGAACCTTTTCGAGGTTAACGATAAACTCTTAGACCATGAATAAGCTGTGTGGAAGAGAAAATGACCAGCAGTGTGTGTCACTCGAACCACTGTGTGGTAGAGAAAGGGAAGCAGGGCTTTGTATGACGCGTGTGCACTCATGTCCCTGTGTCCCCCGCAGATGAACACCTCACTGCTGGGAAGCATCGGCATGCTGAACTCGGCACCTCAGCTGCGCTGCGTTAAAACCTACCAGGTGCCCCCGGTGCAGCCGGCCTCCCCCGGCTCGCACAACGCGCTCAGGCTGGCCCGGCTCATCTGGACTTCCAACCGCAACGTCATCCTGATGGCGCACGACGGGAAGGAGCACCGCTTCATGGTCTGACGCCGCGCCCGCCGCCGCGACCGCATCTCGGCGCTGTCGGCCCTCTACGCAGAGATCCCCCGTCCTAACTTCTGCCGGTCATTCCTCAGTGCCTGCCCACGCCAGTGTCATCCAGGGGCGCGGCCAGGCCCGTGTCACTTCTGCATGGTTCTCGGGGTAGACTCCTGCTCGTGCCACCTATTGATTCAGAGGCATGCCCACGTGGCTCTGCAGGATGTGGCCCTTCTGTCACTAGGTCTTTTTTTTCCTACTGGAGGGGGAGGGGAAGCCGGCAGTCGGCCCCAGGAGCACTCCTGTGTCTGGGTGCACCAGCAGCCCGAAAATCAATAAGCACTGTGATTGCACTCCCAGCCCAGGTCAGCGTTTTCCTCGAGCTAAACCCCATTTCTAAAGCACTGCTTGAGCCTGGTCATTTCGACGTTGGATTTTGAAGAAACGTGGTAGTCCTAATTGTCGAAATTATTTTCCTTTGGATTTCCTAAAACATACTGTTGTTTACCAAAAAGATTCTTTGTTTACATGGGGCTTTTTTTTTTTCCTTCAGCTGGTAGTTAGGAAATCACTCAATCCAATTTCCTAGAGCTTAGCCACTACCTTCTTTATTAACACGTAACCAACGTGAAAGGAATGAGAAAATATACCAAAAAATTTTTTTTCCTCGTGGAGAACAGTTTCCCAGACACCTTGCCCTCTAAAATGCTCATATCCTGCTTAAGCGATGCTGTATTTAATAGTTTAAAATAAAAATCACTACTTATGGTCTAGTTAATATAACTATCAGTTGCTATAACTAATCTCTTAAATAGACTTTTGTAATAACCCAGTTTGGAAGCATAACATATCTCAAAAGAAGACACTGCATCTATCACAACAGATCTTTTGAAGCAAGAGCTTACCCCTTTCTTCTAGAAACTTTACAGATGTGCAGTTCCCATGTCATTTATCACATAATAGTTACAATTCAGCCTCAAACTACTACTGGTCAATTAAAGGAAAACTAAGCATTTCTTTCAAACATGTATTCTAGAAAATTAGTAACTATGGCACAAGCATTCAGGAGTATACATAGAAATATGACGGCTCAATCAATCTGAGCAAATATTGCAATGAGAGTGTACATTACACTTTGTAGTCAGCTTTAACGAGGTTGCTTTCTTATGTCAAATTCTGCTGTTTCTTGCTCATAGTAATGGGGAAAAAAAATCCATAAAATAATATTCTGTATGAATTGCTCCTAACAAACCTTGATCTGTATATTATTGGGGAGTTAGTTGGTTGTCGATTGGTTGGTTAGTTGGATAAAATGGTTTATTAATGTAAAAATAAAAAATGATTTGTGAAATTCAGAGAAAATATGTGAAACTTACAGAGGAACCAAAACGATAATGGGGGATTTAATTTAAAAAGCATAGCAGTCAGAGTTCGTGTAATATTACAAAAGAATAGGATGACGGTCCGGGAACAAATACATCTGTTATTTTATTGAAACAGATTTTTCAAGAACATGTTAAGAAATGAAGACCGCTAGAACGTTTCTTTCATATTAATATAAAGTATGTTATTTCCATTGATGGCAAACCTGTACTATTCCTTGGTTGTAGACTTTGGGTGTTCTTTCAAAGTGAATTTATGCCACATGCATGTACATTGTATTTATAAAGATTATATATGTAGTTTCCAGGAAGAAACAGAACTATACAGTGTAGACTTTATTTGTTTGCTGAACATACTGTTGTGTTCAATATAGGTGGAGAAACCTGAAGTAAACAAAAGATGAACTTGGCTTTTCCAGTGGGTTCCCGAACCCAGCACATGTTTACTTTATGAACTGAAAGGGGGATTAATTTATTCTAGACGACACAGCTGTTTTGGAATGATGACATAGAAGTGTACATTAGAGATTTTTTTTGAAACAAAATGCTCAGTGTGTCTGTAGAAAGGTGTGAGACCACCACACATACGCACAGGGTTGGCACACACTGCAGAGATGTAGAACAAAGCGGTGGCAGCCAGAGGATCAACACACCTGGGCAGTGGGCGTCGGCCAGCCTGTCACGCGTTGTCTTCACAGACAACCGAAATTACTGGCCAGTAGAATATTACAATTACAAAACCGTGGGGTGGGCGATAGTTGATGGCCAGTAGAATATTACAATTACAAAACCGTGGGGTGGGTGATAGTTGATGGTTGGACAGATAGCTCTCACTGCTAAACTAATATTTGCATTCTTGTTAACACAAATCTCTCCTTGGCTATTTCGACGACCACAGTCCAAACTTCTTCACAGCTTGGATTTCACAGCACTGAGGTAAACTTTGTATTGTCATCCAGTGTACGCTTTTAGTATTTTATTAATTTCCTTGGCCCCGTACTTGGACCTGTTCTTGTAAATGTAGAGACATATGTGGCTTCATTGGTAATTTACAAGCGAAGGATGACATGACGTGACACCTGCGTGAAAGTGTAATGATCGAACTCACTGTGTACAGCAAATGAATTAAAATGTCTGCCTCTCAAGACATTTCTTGATTACTCCACTTAATAGATTCTGTATGTGCTGAATGTTGCTCTGTACATATGTGTGTTAAATAAACCGAATTGTACCGAAGATTGTTTTTCCCATTAAAAACATTGTTCACTCTTAAACATTCTCAGTCGAAATCCATATGCTTTCTCCCCCACCCCCACTCTCTTTAGCACCAAATTAAGCCTTCTATTTCCATCTAATTATTCATTTCCCTGGAGAGCTAGAAAGGCAACCTTGTTCACAGAGCACAGTAGGAAATCCCCTGGCTACCCTGCCAGGGCTGGAGAACCAGGCACGTGCCCCTACCAGAAACTCAACAGCACCCTCTGTGGTTTGGGCAGGGGAATGGCATGCATGTTGCTTTATCCCCATCGTTTCTCTTTGACTGTTAATTGTACCAGATTATATCTTGTCAGATTTGATGACATGAGTTGTCTGCCCCGGGGTGGGGGGCCAGTCTGAAATCATTAAATTCATTTCATTTAATACTACTCAGTTTGGAGTTGAATTTGAATCCCTGAGGTAAAAGGTGTAATTGGTTTTCAGAAAAAGCAAGAATAACAAAATAGGTCATCGTGGCTCACAGGGGTTTCGGTGTATTAGTAGTGAGTGTACTTCTTTAATTTTCAGATAAGACTATCGGACATCTTGAATTGAGTCGATCATCGTGTAACCGTATAATTTTTCTTTAAGAAACAGATAAGCATTAAAGGAGTTGACTACAACATCTTTGTTCCTATTCAAACACCCAGTGTTCATCTCAGGAATTGTGTTAACGTCTCCTGATGGCTTCAATGTATCCTTGTAGGGAAGACGGGGCCAGTACCAGTTCTATATGATTGGTGATTACATAAACTGATCAAATGTGGAAAGGGCATGACATTAATAGGAAGGTAAAACCAAGCGGTGCTGGGTGAACTTTCACCTTTCACCCCTTCGGCTGACTGACAGAGCTGAGTGTTGAAGAAAATCAATACCTTGGAGCCAGGAGGGAAATATTTCCAACCTCTAACTAGAGAATGTATTTTGACAAGGCCAAGATAATCCAAGCTGCACAGGAGAAGAGAAAAGAAGACTCATTTTTAAAGCTTGACACTTCAAGGTGTTTTTGTACAATGGTTTAGAGATCGTCAATACATACAAATACCAAAGGTCAAAAAGAAAAGCCGGAAGAATTTCAAAAATTAAATGTTCAGTTCTTTTTGCTGTTTACAAACTAAAAAAGACCACAGAGAGGCTTGTGCTGGTAATTGTTTAAAGGGACAGAGCGCATGCTGTATGCTTCCGGGTGACCGTCCCTCTACTCCGTCCTGAAATTTTATAGAGGCAGCTCTGTGTAGAATGGATGCCTGAAAAAGGCAATTAGACTTCTTGTCTCCGTACATTTTTTCTTGGTTCCATCATTTTGTGCTAACATCTCAGGATCCTGTTTTTTGATGGCGTAGATCCTGCCGTGATGGCTAATCCCGGACCCGTTCTTCACATTTGCTTCCATCATTTGCCCGCGAAAGGAGTTCATGTCCCTTTGGAACTTGAATTGTTTCTAGTTTCCCAAGTTTCTTTAAGCAAATTCCTCATGCAAGTATTCTAATTAGTGTTCTTCTAAGTGAGAGGCTTATGCATCTATAGGAAATAGGTAAGCAATTCACAGCACTCTTATGAGCAAGATGAGATCCATTCATTCTGTTGACAGTTACCTCCATCAAAGGGATACAGACTTTTTTCTACAGATAAGAAAGCTGCCCGTACTTCCCCCGCCAAGCACAGAAGAACAAAGGAATTGTGAGTACACGAAGTATCTGGAGTAACCTTCTGTCTTCTCATGGACTTGCATCATCAGATTTGCTGTAAACCTATATTAATTATGATTTTTAAAATAACATAGCCTTAATTCACATACCCTCTTGCTCATTGAAAAATTCCTCTACTGTATCCCGAGAAGATAGATCTGGTAGAGAGATTTAGTTTTAGTTGTTGCAAATGGAGAACACAGCCAGCCAAGACTCCTCAATGTTCTAGGATTTCCCAGAGCAGGCCAAGAATCGAGCACATGCCTGATTTGTGGGTATCAAATCACTGTCAAACCCATGAAATTTTCCCTGTGAAATGCTTTCAAGAGCTGTACTTAGTAAGTACTCGATAGATGTGAGCTAATATTGTTAGTAGACATTTAGACATCCTCACTGAGCGTAGATAAGATTATAAATTGTGTCCTTTGGAACTGTTGGATTTTTGCACTGTTGTGTTTATCTCTAACAATAAGGCTGGACATCTTACCCAAAGAGGAGGCTCTGGTTCCACCAGTATTTACCAGAGTCTTTACCATGTTGCTAAGTGTTGCTACCTTCTGAAGAAATTCCATATACGTATATGGACTGTTGAAGTTATGACTGATTGCTCAAAAAGAAAGTAGTGTACCACATTAAATTTAAAATGTGTATTAGCATCGGGGATGTCTTTTACTTATATGAGTATCTTTCCAATGTACATCTATCAAGATTGGACAAGACTCTGGACAAAGGATTACAGAGCAGGTGTCGTGGAATCATCAGAGCGAAGGAAACTCTATGTGTAGCTTCTGTTGCCAACACCTTCTTGTTTTGACTCGTGTCAAAATGACTTAGCACTTTGATTTACCCAAACGTGAAATGTATTGTCTAAAACTGGCCCCACCCATGGCACTTTAAATTTTAGTAAAAATGTATGAATAACTTAAAGATGCTGCAATGAAACTTTTTTATTCAGTCTGCAAGCATCTATTGACTCTCAGCATATGCCAAACATATGTTCTGTCTTCTATTTTCTTCTTGCTGATGAGATCACAGTCTAGCAAAGGACTATAACACTATGGAATAAGTCCTCCAAACAGAGATGGGCGAAGAGAACACACAGAGGGATGAATTCTAAAGTAGTGTCGAGTTAGGCTTCACAGAGAGGAAGCATTTTAGCTGAACCTTGAAGAAGAAATAGAAGTTAATTAGGTAGGTGGAGGAGATGTTAAAAGATAGAAATTTATAGGAGTCCAAATTATTATGTGATCTGAATAGAAATGAACTACTTCAAACCTTACAGACTGAGGGGTGTTGATGGGCACTGCCGGCAACCCAGGCAGCTCTTCACTGCAACTCCAGGAGACAAGACAAAGGATACTTGAGATATAGGAGGCAAAAACCCTAAACAAACAAACAAACGAACAAACAAAACCAGAGCAAAAACCTTAATAAAAGATTTCTCTGGCTTTTACTGTTTTTTTTTTTTTTTTTCAGATTTTGTTTTCTTGTGTATGCTATTTTTGCTTCAAAAATCAGTTATGCATCCTCCAGACCCTGTATTAGTGTGTAGATAGCCTGTGTTGGGTGCCTGCCATGAGCACCAACCAGATTTCCACTCCCATGGCTCCCACCCCAGAACTGAAGCGTTTATCCCCGCAGCTGCTGGGAGGATTGGCGTCTAATAGCTCTGCTCAGTCTTCCCCTGGGGAGTATGCTATTTTTGCTTCAAAAATCAGTTATGCATCCTCCAGACCCTGTATTAGTGTGTAGATAGCCTGTGTTGGGTGCCTGCCATGAGCACCAACCAGATTTCCACTCCCATGGCTCCCACCCCAGAACTGAAGCGTTTATCCCCGCAGCTGCTGGGAGGATTGGCGTCTAATAGCTCTGCTCAGTCTTCCCCTGGGGATTGCTTCACAGCTAGAGAGCTGTCTGACCCAAGGGCATGCTCGCTCTCCTGGGGTGACCGCATTCAATGATGAGTCGGGAGGAGGTGTAGAGGCCCAGCCCCTGGCTCCATTTCAGAACAACGTGGAAGGTGGCTGAAGGCTTCCCTGAACCACATCCCAGTTTAGCTTCCTCCTCTGCCCAGTCCTGCTGCTTTCACTCCCCCATGGTGTTGATCCTGAGAACACTTTTCCATAAACTTAGTATATGCAGGTTTCTTTCTCATAGTCTGCAACCTACGACAGTATTAGAAATGGTCCAAGAAAGGCAGGTTTCTTTCTCATAGTCTGCATCCCCCAGAATGCAACCTACGACAGTATTAGAAATGGTCCAAGAAAACAAAGTCTAAAATGAGATTTAGGACCTGGGTCGCCCATTGAGCTACTGGCAGAGAGGATCCTATCACTGGTGATAGGTGATCATGGGTAGCCTCTGGCATGCTGGGGCCATGCAATTGTTAGCTTTCAGGGATGTTAAACATTTGATGATGAACTTAGGATGGCATGCTGACAAAAGGGGATGCACTGGAGGGTACGACGTGGCAGGTATTCGAGGAGTAAGGGAAGATAGAAAATTTAAGGGCAATGGATTTGGATGGCTGTTGGTGGGCACACTAGAAAAAGACAACGAAAAGCTGAGGGTGATTAATCACCAATTAAAAGCTAAATACGAAAGCCAGAGAGAGTCCTTGGCAGCATCTAAGAAAGCCTTATCTCCTACAGCCAAATATAAGCTGAGGATCAGGCCCAGGACTTGTTTTGTGAAGAGAGCTCCAGAGGAAGCTGCAGTCTTAGCCTCCAAAGGTCTGCTACCCCAAGGTCAGAGGCCTGATCGAGATGGATGGGGTTATCTGGATTGATGCACTTGAATAACCTTGAATCTCCATATTCTGGTGAACCCTCCTTGTCCTGCCTGCATGGCCCACTCCTTTGATTGAGGATGATATAGAGTCCTCTCCCTTGCGAAAAACACATGGTCCCCACCTCCTTTCCTAGTAGACTGATCTCTCATCAGACCAATCAGCTAGGGCTAAGTCACAATAGAGCCTGGCTGTGGAAGTACTGGGCTTGCTAAGGCAAAGAAATAGATCCCAAAGGAAGTGTAAGACTGAGCCAACATGTACCTGCAGGAACTGGGAGAATTATGGGACTAGATTCTGGGGGTGTTGGGTCAAGGGGAGACAGAATATAAACAGAGACAAAGGAGAGTTTATTCATATGGGATTCAACACCCTGGCAAGGACCCAGGGACAAGGGACCGCTCAGCTTGGAGAAAACGATGGCCGATGCGAAGTCAAGAAGAAATGTCAGAACCGCCTTGGCAGATGGTAGGAGGAGTGACCCAAAAGCTCAGCGTGGTGGGACTGCTGGAGAAGATAAGCTATGCACGGCCAGAAACTC